GCTGTGCCTCAGGGTAAAGCTACAGTTTTTTCCAAGTTAGAATTGAAAGTGTGAAATTAGAAGTCAAGGGAATTCAGTCATTATTAAGTTAGGAGTGCATGGTAATGTGTGGCTTCAACAGTATAGCCATCAATATTATTGATAGCTAAAAAAATAACACAGATTAAACGCAAGGGAAGGGAACCCCAGGTGGCTGTGAACAGTGGCCTCACAAAGATATCCATGTCCTAATCACTGGAACCTGTGAGTGTGGCCAAGGGGACTTTGCTGATATGATTTAGTTAAGACTCTTGAGATGTGAAGATTACCTGGATTATGAGTGTGGACTCATTGGAGTCACAAGGGTTCTTCTGTGGGACAGAGGGAAGCAGGAGAGTCAAGGTCAGAGGACCATGGAATCAAGGTCTAGCCTGATACAGTCGCAAGTCAAGGAATGCCTGCAGACCCTAGAAGCTGCAAAGGCAAACGAATGGATTCTTCCCCAGAGACTCTACAAGGAACACAGATCTGTTGACCTTTTGATATTATCCCTACAAAATCCATCTCAGACTTTTGGCCTGTACAGCTATATGATAATAAATTTGTTTTATTTTAAACCACTAAGTTTGTAGTAACTTTGTGACTGTAGAATATGAAACTAACACAGCCCTTTTCTATAATCTGCCTTTTAGCTAGGATGCTATTCAGATCTGTCCCTTCTCCATCCCGCTCATGCTGAGCTATTGGGGATCCTCAGCCAGGCCTGTCACTACAACTGTCTCCTGGAGGGAGAGCCCCATAGGAAAATAAGTAGAGAGAATTACAACCAGAGTACTGTATTTCAAAACAGCATGCCTTCTGCAAAAAAGAGAAAAAAAACCTGGAAGAATGTAAAAAATATCAACACCAGTCTTCCCTAGAACATGAGAGACAATTTTTTCCTTCTCTATGCTTTTTGATATTTTCCAAAGTGCATTCATGTAAAATGAATTTTTATTTTTATAAATACGAGAATTTATTTTAAGAAAAACAGGAAAGCAAAAACATACCATCGGAATTGTTTTAAAACGTGAAATTATTCAGCTTAGTAAATGTTAACCATGCCTAACAAGATCCAACCTCTCTGAGTCCTCTAAGTTTTGCTGTTGTAAAAGATGTCCTGGTGTCCTACAAAACATGTCCAAGCTGCAAGAGGGCACAGATGCATGGGGTGGGGGGGGGGGTTCAAATCTCAGTGCTGCTCCTTGCTGGCTGTATGAATTAGAACAACACTCTTTCTTATTTTAGTTTTTAATCAACATAAAAATTGCACATAATTATGGGGTGCAGTTTGACATTTCAGTACTTGTATATCATGTGTACGGATTAAATCAGGGTAATTAGCACTTCCCCCTTCTTATCATTTCTTTTTATTTCTCAATTTAAAAAATCACTTGTATTACTACATACCAGCAATACACACGATTTTTTTAAATAACATTTTTATTTTATTTATTTATTTTTTGAACTAAAAACATTTTAAGATTTTTTTTGTACTTATCAGCTATGTGTAGCTATTAACTTTATTTATTTATTTATTCATTTTTCTTTTATTATTCATATGTGCATACAAGGCTTGGGTCATTTCTCCCCCCTGCCCCCACCCCCTCCCTTACCACCCACTCCACCCCCTCCCTCTCCCCCCTACCCCCTCAATACCCAGCAGAAACTATTTTGCCCGTATTTCTAATTTTGTTGTAGAGAGAGTATAAGCAATAATAGGAAGGAACAAGGGTTTTTGCTGGTTGAGATAAGGATAGCTATACAGGGCATTGACTCACATTGATTTCCTGTGCGTGGGTGTTACCTTCTAGGTTAATTCTTTTTGATCTAACCTTTTCTCTAGTTCCTGTTCCCCTTTTCCTATTGGCCTCAGTTGCTTTAAGGTATCTGCTTTAGTTTCTCTGCGTTAAGGGCAACAAATGCTAGCTAGTTTTTTAGGTTTTAGAAGCCTCAAAATGTTAAATGTGCATTTAACAAAGTCTATTTAATAGCTTTATAATGGAAACTGCATAACATTATTAAGAACAATTAAGGAAGGTCATAATTAAATATTTATTGAATTGTTATTTTTACCATGTCCCTGTGTTGGAAAACTCAGTAGTATAAAATGGTAATTTGACTAAAGTTAATGCAACATGATTCAAATCAATAGCTTAGCAGATACCTTGTTTCTTGGTACAAATGGACATTCTAAAATATATCTAACAATACAAACATTTTAGAAGAACGAAGTCTATTTTGAATAGAGAGAACAAACCAGAGTTGTAGAACATAAATTGGCTGGTTTCATAATTTATTATTATGTTACCATAATTTAGACACATCCACATCAGTCAATATTTGATCAAGGTAGCAAGGCAATTACTAAAGAAGAAGGATAGTCTTTTCAACGAATACATAATAATAATAAAAATAAAATCAGTGACTTTTTAAAGCATAGTATCAAATACAAGCAAAGATGTATGAGATTAATCATTGTGGACCATGTACTGTCTGCATGTGTTCATGCTGCCTCTGCAGTAATTCAAATTCTAGGAATTCAGGCTAAGGAGGAAAAATGGGTGCAGAAGACAGCCAACTTACTATTTTATTGCCAAAGGGAAAACCTAACTTTGATATAATTTTAATTAAAAAAAGCAAATAATTTAAATGTAGAAAGATATCTCAAATATTGTGTATTTCTGTTTTCTTTATATACAAAAATGTGCTTATCTGAGGAAAATTTAGCAAAAAAGTATTGACATTAACTATAATACTATCATGTGACTAGGAAGCCCTTAATTTTTAGGGCTTTCTTCAGCAGTTTGTATAAATGATGTCATATGTGTGTGTGAGTGTGTGTATATATATACATATGTATGTGTATATATATGTGTATGTATATACATATGTATATATGTATGTATATATATATGTATGCATATGTATATATGCATGTGTATATGTATACACTCATATTTAGTTATTTTTTCCAATAGTGTCTCATGATTTTTTGCTCAGGCTGGTCTCTAAGCACAGTCTTCCTATCTCTACCTCCCAAGTTGCTGGGATTATAAGTATGGACCACCACACCTGCCTTGTTTTTTGAGATAAGTTTGTGCTAACTTCTTTCCTAGGCTGGCCTTGAACTGATCCTCCTATCACTACCTCCCGAATAGATGGGATTTCATTTCTTAATATTCAGTCTTTGAGCTCCTTTCCTCTGTTTTTTTTTTCAGAAAATATATAATAGATTATTGTCAACCATAGCTGTCCAACTGAGCTGAAGAACACCAGAACTTGTTTCTCCCATGTACCTCCTTCTATCCTCCTTTCTTCTGACACTTCCTGTCCTCCTCTTATTACTATTCTACTCTCTTCTAATCTGAAATCAATTATTTGCAGTTCCATATAAGAGAAGAACATGGACAAAATTGTCAATTTATCTAAAGTTGGCCCTTTTGCAGGGAATTTTTAAAGCAAATATTCAAGTTCAATAAAGGTAGTTTTATTTTATTTTGTTTAGTTATCTATCTATTTAGACAGATAGATATTTGTCTATTTATTTTCACAGTACTAGGGATTGACCCCAGGGCCTGGTGCTTACACTCAAGCTCTTCATCACTGAGCTGCACCCCTTTTTAATTCTTCTTTAATTTCTAAACAGGGTCCTGCTGAGCTGCCCAGGTGGTTTTGAGCACACTGTCCTTCTGCATCACCTCTCAAGAAGCTGGCATGAATTTGGCTTTGATTGTTTTTTTTTTTAATATAGGTATTATTTTTTATACTGCTTCTTCAGTTTTAAAATGTATCTGTCCACTTTTTCCACGTTAGGAAGCTATGATCTTTAAATCTCAGTGTAAATGGCTCTCCTCTTTCAGTCTTTGTGACCATGACAATTTATGGAACACATGCAAGTGTGTGTCAATCACGGTATTTACGTAATTAACTTACCTCATCACAGCACTAGAGCAGGGCTCTCAGCCCCATCTTACAGATGAGAAAACTGAAGCACAGAGGAGGTAAGTAACTTGCCCACAGAACAAGAAAAGAAAAGGATTCAGTCTGAACCTAGCCAGGCCTGTCTGATGCGTTAGCCCTTGCACTTGAATATTAATTCATCCAGAAATAATCGACCACTCCCTTTTCTGATCACAGTACCTCTTTGTCATACCTTTATTGAGAATTGATCTTACTCTGCCGTGTTTGTTCTTATTTGTAAATTATTTCTAATCCTTAGGACTAACTTGTGCAATACAAGTAGAAAGGAGGAAATACTGAGTGGCAAGGTGTGGACAATTATCACAATAAAATATTTCCTGAATTTTTAAGTTTTAGTCACTCAAAAAGAAGAAGAAAATACACCTTCAAGAATATAATAATATATTTACTCAGTAATCTTGAAATAGACACCCTGCTTACAAATCTGTTTAGTGGTTGGGCTCCAAGAAGACAAGCATTCTAAATCTAAAATGCACATTTTCAAAAGGAGACATTCTAACTATTTGATTGTGATTACAAAATCTGAAGTGCAATTATGCTGTTATGATTTAAACTACATTTCAAAGTTAGATTCTGCAATATTTTAGCTTCAGGCTACCTCTGAGAGGAAACAGTACACACCCCTGATTTTCTAATGAGAAAACTGTGGAGGTAAGACGGTGGGATGGGGGCAGGGAGCAGGGCATGATGTAAAGATGGTTGAATTCTCATCTGATTGCTGCATGTGGCAGAGCTGGGGCAGGAGCTCAGAAATGCAGACCTCAGGGCTCTGTGCCCTTCACCTCTGCATCTTAGTTCCATGAGGCAATAATTTAGGAGCCACTTATTTTCCCAGCACTCTAGTTTATCCAGTAAATATTTGGATGACTCTACTCTGTCCTTTTCCTACAGCCTGCTATGAGAACACTGAATGAGAGGGGCGCTTATCTCGTCACAAATTAAGCGTGTTTTTCTCCTCAGCTTAAACCCTGGAAGCTGCCCACAAACTCATGACACCCACAGCACCCAGCCACAATACCATTCCTTCTTCCTGCAGGGCCCCACTACTGAATTCCTGCTTCCTTCAGTAGGAGTCATTCCTGGTACAAATCAACAGTGGGTGTCTGTGGTGAGAAGATCTCCTGGCTCAGAGTGAGTTTCAGCGCCTTTCTGAACCACCGGTAGGAAAAGACATAGATAATGGGGTTGCAGGCTGAGTTGAAGTAAGCAAACCAGATAAAGATGTCAAATACCAGTGGTGGTGTGATGAAGTGCAGAAGGCTCTCCACCATTGTGTCAATGGTGAAGGGAAGCCAGCACAGGAGGTAGATGCCCACAGCAATGCCCAGGGTCTTGGCAGCTTTTCTCTCACGCTTGACAGCCCCAGCCAAGCTTTTCCTCAAGGTGCTGATCTGCTGAGCCTGCCTTGTAGCAACCACAAAGATCTTCACATACACGCCGATCATGATGAGGCAGGGGACAAAGAACGCAGGGAAGTTTAACCAGCCCCAAAACTTATTGAACAGAAGCTGACAACTGCCCACACAAGGCATCTCTTCCAGCCACTGGCTGAGTCCTCTCTCTACTACATCTGTATAGAGAAAGAAGGCAGTGTAAACTGCTGGCACACCCCACCCTGCCAAGATGTACTTGAGGGCCATCCTGACCGTGAACTTGGAGGGATAGAGTAGAGGATCACAGATGGCACAGTGGCGGTCAATAGAAATGAAACAGAGATGGAAGATGGAGGTGAGGCAGAAGAGGGTGTCCAGGTAGGTATGCAGACGGCAGAGGAAGTCCCCAAAGAACCAGCAGCTCTCCACAGAGCGAACAGTGCTTAAGGGCAGCACTAAGAGACCCAGCAACATGTCAGCCAGGGCCAGAGAGAGCAGCAAGAAGTTGGTGGGAGTGTGAAGCACTTTAAAGTAGGACACGGCAAATACCACAAACAAATTCCCTAGAACGGTAATTAGCATGCCCACTGCACAGGCCAGGTAGATGACCAGCTGGATGCCCAGAGGATGAACCATCCTGGGACAAGAGTTATTCATCTGGTAGCAAAATGCCACGGGGCTTTCTTCAGCGCTTTGGATGAGAACAGCTTTCATTTGTGTGTTCTCCTCTTCACTCTCTCTGGAACTGGTTACCTTCTCCACCACAAAAATAATTTTTTCTTGGTCTGTTAAACAGTCAGAAAGTGAGATCATGAGGGAGAACTAAAGAGCAATGGAACAATTTTCCTGAGTACTGAATCACATGTGCCCTGAAAATCAAAATTAGCTGGGATTCCAAGTTTCACAAGAGTAACCAAGCTAATCCTGGTTTTTCTAACTAGGCCTCTTTTGAGCTACTGTAGACAATTCCTGAAGGAAAGGAAGAGTGTAAGCTAAATGCTTCCTCAAGGAAAGACTGTTACTTCGTAGTATTTAGGACAAAGTTATTTAGTGTTTCCCATTTTGACATTTTGATAAGGTACTTGCCAAATGTAAAGTGAGATTTAAAGTCAGGACTCTGAACCAAGTGACAAATTAATTCGTAATAAATCATTGCTTGAGGAAGGAATAATTTTAGTTCTTCCCTTCAATAGTAAATTAATGATAAAAATCATAATATTAAAGTTTTTCATTATGTCAACTCATCCCAGACAAATACTGAAAAGAATAGAAAATTCCCTGTTTCAGTTTTGTGTGCTGCATATTTTCTTTTTTTAATTGCTGTGCTAGAATGGTACATTGTGGCATTTACAAAACTTCTTATGGTATATCAAATATATCATAATTGAATTCTTATGATATATCAAATATATCATAATTGAATTCACTCCCTCCCTTTTATTTTTTAAGGAGGTGAATATCATAAGCAGTTTTTGAATTTTATTTATTTGCATTTTTCATCTTCTAAATTTTCCATAATGAACATGCATTATTCTTACAATCAGAAAAACTAATTTTTAAAATCTACATGTGTATATAATGTTTATATTCCTTCTGGTTACAATCATGTAAAAAAAGAAAGAAAATACAACAAAAGGTTAGGGGTAGTTAACTCTTTTTGGCATATTTTACATCTGATCTGAAGTACTCAATAAATATTTGCAGAGTAAATAAATAGATTTTCTCCTTTATCCTTCTAATTTTATTTTTTTTAATTGCACATTTTCTAAAGATAACATATAGCATTACATATCTTGGGAGAACTAGCCGATCTGAGAAAATGTTTGTTGTATCAAACACTAATCTGTTCTAGCTAAGCAAGTTCTAATAGACTAAGTTCAGGGTTTCCAAGCTACTTACGGAAGTAGGAATGAGTCACTTCATAGAAAGAAGTCTGCCTTGTGTCAGGTGGACATAGGAATTAGATCCTCCTCTGTCAGCAAAAATGACAGCTGGGCCATCATTGAATGATTTTATATTCTCAATCGCAATTACTCCTTTATGCAGCATGATAAAATGAGCAGAGAGTGAGTACCAAGGGACCTAGTTTGCACTATTGACAAGTCTCTATTGTTTAAGTTTCCTTCTCAGTATGGGATTATTTACCCTGACAATTAATTAGAGTGAAATTTAAGGATGCCAGATTTACGTGATTGTTTTACTCCTGAGTTCTGGGATATTCACAAAGGTATTCTTTTGTGGATAGTTGTCATGTATATATATTCTTTTACTTAATTTCATTTTTTGTGAGTTCCATTTATTCCTTCTACTCTCAGATCCTTTTTATACATTTTTTCAGCATGAGAAAAAGTTGAGAATTAATTCTTATTAATAAATCAGTATTTAGAAGGGCTCTAAATATTGATTATGGGGAAAGAAAGGCTATAAGAAGCTATTCTCAAAAAAAAAATTTTAGCTGAGAACCCTAAAGAGACCCATACCTCCACAGTAGAACTTGGAACAGGAAGTTAGTAAGATTTGAAGAACAGCCTCACTACATTTGTGATCTAAAAAAGTAATCAGTACAATGGACCAATAAAATGAAGCCTTTTTTTAAACAGAAAGAATAGCAAAAGCAACCATCTTAAAGACACAAATAAAGGGACAAGTTTACAAGCTTGTTTATGTATAAAGCCATCCATTTTTAATAGCACCTATGCAATGCAAAAAGATAAAGTAAATGTTTATGAAGAAGGAAAGTTTGGTAATCACTAGAAAATGCAAACAGCGTAGGCTTTGCAGAGATAAACCTGGTTTTGAATCTTTCTTCTGACATTAGAGCTTATGTGATCTTGGAAAAGTTGTCAACCTCTCTGAGAATCAGGGGTTCTAGTTTACACGTTATAAAGGGTGGAAAAAATGTTTAGAGGACCTAGGTGGCTCATGCCTGTAATCCTAAATACTTGGGAGGCTGAAGTTGGGGGGATACAGGCTGGAAGCCAGCCTAGGCAAACAATTTGTGAGACCCCCCCATCTCCAAAATAACCAGGGCAAAAGGAACTGGAGGAGTGGCTCAAGAGGTAAAGCACCTGCTTTGTAAGCATGAAGCCCTGAGTTCAAACCCCAGTCCCATAAAAAAAGAAAAAGGCTTAGAATATTAACTGAAGTGCATTTTCCTACTCACACGAAGCATAATAGATATAAATATTCATTTCTTCTGTCTCCTTCATTTTGTATCTGCTCTGCATTTATGCCCTGTTATCAGACACTTGGTTAAGTTTCTCTTTTATGTTGGTTTGGGAATATTTCTTCAGGAATTCATGTTTTGTTTTAGCAAGCTGGTGAATTTCTTGAATACAGGAACTTTTTGAGCTCTTTCAAATATCCCCTACAGGATTTTGGATAGTCTTCTCTGCACTGTATTTAATGTTGAAATAATTAGCCTTTATTCTCAAAGAGTAGATAGACTACCTGGCCTGCTTCTTTAACCTCTGTCCTTTCTTCTTTGACAGCAGCCTATAAAACACTGTAGAGGAGATTCCTGTGTGTTTCTAGGTCCCCAGCAATTACAATCTAAAATGAGAGGAGGAACTGTGTCTTATTTATACCAATGTAGCTCAGTGCTTATCACAGAGCCTATAATATACTAGTCACATAGGAAAATTACATCCAGAGTAGTAGATTTCACATCATTGTAAGAATGCTATGAATGTCTGCTCACAATAGCCAAGTTATGGAAACAGCCCAGATGCTGACTACCAACAAATGGATTAAGAAAATGTGGTATTTTTACACAATGGAGTTTTACTCAGCCACGAAGAAGAATGAAATTTTGTCATTCGCAAGTAAATGGATGGAACTGGAGAACATCATCTTAAGCAAAGTTAGCCAGGCTCAGAAGGCCAAAAATTGTATGTTCTCCTCATATGCAGATTATAGATCCAAAACAAATGCAGTAATATTATTGGACATGAGTCACACGCTAAGGGGAGAACATATACAGGAGGAATAGGAAAGGTAGGAAAGCTAAAACTTGAAAGTATTTGATGTGCCCACTGTAGAGGAGTTAATAAAGTAATCTTAAACTGACAAAGATCACTATGGGAAGGTGACCAGGATGTAGTAAAGAGGTCTGGTAGAGATGAATCAATGTGGGTTGTAATACACACATGTGCAATGCTAGGAATCTCTCTGTATAGCTATCTTTATCTCAAGCTAGCAAAAACGCTATGTCTTTCTTATTATTGCTTATGTCTTCTCTTCAACAAAATTGGAGAAGAGGGTAGAACAGGTTCTGCCTGGAAGCAAGGGTGGTTGGGGGGAGAGAGAGAGGGCGGGGGGCAAGTGGAGATGGCCCAAACAATGTATGCACATATGAATAAATGAACAACAAAAGTAGATCACTCAATGGTGTGACTTTAATCAACAACTTTTCTCTTTCCACCCACTCAGGTGTACTAAGTCTATTATGAGGCACGGTGAGCATCCCAGTTTAGAAATTGTGTGGCTTATCTAGAGTTGTGTCAGCCATGAGGGTCCATGGCTCCCAGAGGCAGCACAGAGGCAGTGGGAAGGAGAAAAGTGTTTCAAAGGAGCAGGGAGGAAGCACAAAGAGGATGATAGTGAGGCTGAGGAAAAAATGCTGGCTTGTGGCTAGGATTCATGGCCCAGGTCCATTTGATTGAGTTCTATGGCCTGTAACAAGTCTTGGCTTTAGTGCCTTCATCTTGTCTTCTGTAGTGTCAGTTCCCATTTCTGCTTTTATTTTTTAATTAATTTAATTTTAATTTAATTTGGCCAAATCTTTTTTTCATATTTGCATTCATGTAAGCCATTCTTAAATCCTTTCTGGAGCAAGGGATAGAGGTGAAAGTACACATGCCTTATAGTAACATAGAATCCTGGGACTAGCCGTACCAATTCAAGGAATATATCCCAGGGAGATGACCACACAAGGATGAGCTGTATGCTGAAAGATGCTCTATGGAATGTTGTTAATAGTAATGAAAAACAGAAATAACCTGAGTGTTCTCCAATAGAGGGCATATTACACAAACTATAGTAAACTCATGCAATAAGATATTTTGTAGTCACTAGAATTACTGATATAGTTCTATTGCTATTGACCAATATATTCAAGACATTATTACTGAATGTGATGGTTATTCTTTTTTGTAGTACTGGAGTTTAAACTCAGGGTCTTGCACTTGACCCTGCTGCTTTTGAGCCATGTCCCCAGACCTCTTTTTGCTTTACTTATTTTTTAGAGATGGTCTCATTCATTTTACCCATCCAGGCTCAGATTGTAATTCTCCTGCCTATGCTTCCTTCATGACTTGGATTATAGATACTCACCACCATGAATGGCTTATTTGTTGAGATGGGGGGTCTCAACAACTTTTTGTGTTGGCTGGCCTTGAAATGAGATCCTCCTGTCTCTGCCTTCTTAGCTGGGATTATAGGCATATCACCACATCTGGCCTATAATGGTTAATCTTGGTTGTCAACTTGATTGGATTGAGAAATGCTTAGAATAGTAGAGCACATAAAAGTACTCCCCAATCTACTTGTGACACCTTTCAGCTTCATGTATCCTCACTGAGGGCTGAGCCAATTCTGTTCACATACAAATAAACATCTCTTTCCCTTGACAAATCATGCTGTGTCAATTTAAGATGCAAACTACTTTTCTCAAAATCTCTTTCTAGACATGATTCCAAATCAGAGAAATGTGTGAGACTTGGAAATCAGAAGTAAAGCTGCAGCCATCACTCTGAAGGTGTTTGGAGATCAATACTTTGCTGGACAGATATTCAGCTTGTCTGCCTGCCTACTGGTATTGCTGAGGAACAGTCAGTTACCAACTGTGTGGGCAAGGATAGCAGAGCACTAGCTAATCAGAGGCAATGCTCCCTCAGCCCTTTCCACCATCTCCAAATTTGCAGTCCCTTGTCAGTGGTTGGAAGGGGCTGCCCAGCTTATGTCCTCAAATAAGCTCCAGGAAGTTGGCATAGTGTCCCTATTCACTGATGCTCTAATTCCTCTTCCCCACATTTATTCCAACTTTAATGGAGACTCTGCTTCCCATCCTGAACCCAAGGACATATTCCTTTGACTTCAAATTTAGGCAGTGTCCCCTATCCCCCAAGCAAGTTGCTTTCCTCCTCCATGCTCTCATAGCTTCTTGTACCTGGCTCTATCACTCACTGTGTAATTGAATGACTGTGGACTCATCAGGACATAAGTCCCTTGAGGCCAGGGTTTGAGTTTTAGCCATTTCTGAGTTACAGCCACTCAGAACAGCATTTGGCACTTAGCAAGTGTTCAGTGAATGGTTGTTGACCTGAGTAGCTGTTTCCTTTGTTTCTTTGTTTTTGAGACAGGGTCTGTCGATGTAGTCCAGGCTGGCCTTGAGTTCACAATCCTCCTGTTCAGCCTGTGGAGTGCTGGAATTGTAGGCCTGCACCACCATGCTCAAGTCATTGGTTTTTGATACCCCTGTACCCTTGACAGTAACTGTCCTGAGATAATGGCTACTCTGTTCAACTTAGATGAGTCCTGGCGAAAGAAGAGATGGAAAGTGACGAGTGACTTCATTTGTTCTTGGACTAGCCTAGGAAGAGCATGTGGAGCTGCTTTGAGAATCAATTCAACTATTGTTCCTGGGCACCCCATAAATTGTAAAAATCCTTTATTAAGGTGAAGAATGATTTTGATTGCCACACAAGTTTCCATCTGCTCCTTTCTGCCTGTATTTAGCGCTGTTCCAATTGTGTGAAAGAAAATGCTGGTTTACAGGGAGGACTGCTCATGCATCATCCAACCTATCCCTTGACATTGTCACATATTTTGTGCTATTTTGAGGATCGACTGAGAAAATGAGTATGTACTGAATGAATAACTTCCCTCCTGTTCAGGCCCTCATAGTCAGCGTGCAAATGTCCTTGTTTGAACATCAGATACGAAAGAGGCCATCACGGAAAGGGAACTGTAAAATGCTCCTGCCATTGTTAGTTGATCTAATGCCCTTTCAAGGCCTGGAATGAGATCTAACCTGACTGGAACCCTGAGGAACTCCTGTTGTTCTTTGACTTTACAAAAGGAATACGTTTAGCTTCTGAAGGCTACCTTCAGTCTCAGGGGCAAAGTGGAATTGAAATCTCCTAAGGAATAAATTACTGCAATCAGAAGAGAATTGAACAGTGGCTCAGTGCATCAAAACCCAATTTTTATTTCTAATACAGTTCCATGGGAACATTAGTCATTTTCTGAAACTTCTCAGCACCTAAAAATGTTATATTCAAATTACCAAATTATAAATACTGACCTCTGGAAGCTAAAATGCTCAACACAACACTTATTCAATAGAGTCCTGGGGAATTCCCACCTGATTAGAGAAGTTTTATTAAAGGTGTTTTATAGTAATGAGTAGCTTCCCAGGAGATATGGTGAGGCAAGGGTAGATTAAAAAAGCATACAGGTTCATGAAAGGTTCACTTAAGATTTAGGTACATGAACATTAAAAATCTCAAAATAAAGGTATCCCACACAGAGGTGTGATGTCATTTGGCTAGGTCAGAAGATAGAGTCTATTTAAACAATTGTTCTCATATTATTACAAGAAATATCATGAAAGCTGAATATAAGATTATATGTGGCCACATTTGATGAAATAAGTTTATGGGGTATGAGAAAGAAAAGAGACAAAAAGGATTTGGAGAAAAGACATCTGTTGACACAGGAGAATCTATCTAAACTCTAGGAAATGGAAGGACGTCAGTTCTGTGAGTGAAGTTCAGTCTTGGTGGATAATTAGTACATGCATACATGTACACACACACACACACACACATAGACACATCCCTGTATGTAAACTCAAAGGATGCCTGTATTCCCACTTCAAAAGTGTATAGTGGGAGGAAAAAAGAGTCTTTCCTAAATTCTTTCTTTACTTATTCTTCTCATTTAATTATAGCTCAATTTTATCAAATATTGGAAGGAAGCAGGAAGACTTGAAAAGAGTTTGTTTTTGTTGGAAGTGCCTTCCTAGAAAGAAGCTCAGGCATAAACCATTTTGGTAGCTGTGGCACACCAACAAAACTCAACCCATTGCTCATATGTAGGTATCTGTTATACCATCTGGAAGAATTTCCTCAGTTAGTAAGTCCATGCCTCTGTCTTTGAGGAAAAAGAGAAACCAAGATTTCCTCTTAAAAAAGAATCTCATTGCCTAAGGGTGTGAAGAAAACAGGCTTAAGGTGGAAGAATCAGGGCGAAAGATCATTCCTGTGACTAGCATCCTTAATGCCCTGCGAAACCAAGGATAAAACATGCCATATATGATGGGGTTGAAAGTGGAATTGAAATATCCCAGCCAGAGGAAGATATTATACAAATCTTCAGGGGCTGAAAAATTAATGAAAGGGTCTGTGATTGTCAGGACAAAAAAGGGCAGCCAACACAATACAAATACTCCCATGACTATGCTTAAAGTTTTAGTGGCCTTGCTTTCTTTTTTGGATGTTGTCTTCATTTTGCTTTCTGAGCCAGCCTGTTTCATCTTAGGACCTATACCAATTTGCTTAGCATGCTTCCTGGCTATTGTGAAAATGTGTATGTAAATCCCCACCATAACTGTCCCAGGTAAAAAGAAAGCTATAAAGGAGGCTAGCACCCCCCAGAGTTTGTTAAATATCAACACACACAAACCTGTACAGTCAACGGCTGCAACAAAATCTTCTGCACCAATTATGTTTAATTCTGAGAATACCAGGCCAAATGCAAAAAAGATGGGAATGGACCAACTGACCAGTAGGAAGACCTCTATGACAGAGATGGTAATTTTGGTGACATAGTGCAAAGGGTCACAAACAGCATAGTAGCGGTCAACTGAGATGAAGCAGAGGTGAAAAATAGAGGTGGTGCAGAGCATGATGTCACAGCAGCTGTGCACTTTGCAAAAGAGGTCTCCAAAATACCAGCAGGACTCAATGGACCTGATCATACTGAAGGGCATGACCACACAGCTCAGCAAGAAGTCTGTGGTGGCCATGGAGAGGATCAAGAGGTTAGTTGGGGAGTGGAGCTGCTTGAAGTGGGCGATGGAAATGATCACAACCATGTTGCCCAGCATTGTCATCACTATCACACTGGTCATGATCATGTACAAGGTGACGACAGTCAGCACAGACCTTTCTTTTTTGGGACATGAATTGTTAACTAGAGCAAAGCAGTATTGTACTTCTGGAGGATTCCAAAGGTCAGGTGAGTTCATTGTCTTTGTCCTGTGGATACTATGGTTCCTTTTCAAAAGTGTTGCGTTCCTTTCCTTTCTGTGAAAGAAAGAAGAAAAACAATAAAAATCGTTGGTAGGACAATTATCTGTAGTGGCCCAGCTAACCTGCATTTCCTGTCCAAGTTGAACTCCACACTAAGTGCTGCTCCCCAAACCATGTGTGTATGGATCACCTAGGTGTCTTTCTAAAGCACAGATTCTGATTCTGGGGCAGATGCTGAGGGTCTGGATTTCTCACCATTTCTCAGGGGAGGCAAATGTTGTTAGTCCAAGATGCACTTCTTGAGTAGAAAGAGACTGAGGAAGACCAGACTGATGTTCTGTCATCCAACATCCAAGTAGCACAGGTGGATGCATATTCCCCTTACACTAATGTGTTGCCCTGACTCAGATTCCTAATCCATAAGCAGATCTGGAATTTTTCTTGTCTCCACTTAACCAATTTTCTGGGTAAAAGCCTCTCAAGTGCTGTGGGCCTTTAATTTAATGTTTAGCTTAAACAATAATTATAATCTGAAAATCGTGTGGCTTTTTCACCTAAAACTTCTCTGTGGGCAATTACAAATGCTTTTGCTTCTTCCACTTATGATATATTATTTAGTTAAGAAAAGATTTCTTTCTCCAATATGAAGAACAATAGCTTTTAGAATTTAGGGAAATATTATGGCAAGCTAAAGATAGACTAAGGATTATAGAATTGTGCGTGAATAATGTCCCCAAAAAGGGAAAAGTGATTCGAATAATAGATTCTATATGTTTCACAGATTATCTGCTTTCATTTAGCAGCTGTATTCATGAATTCAAGTTCATTCTGAGGACCTTTTCAGCACAGATTTCAAGTCTTACATTGGCAACATATCATTTGACATATAGGAGCGCTTATTATTTGTGATTTTTGTCTCCTTTGCTATTACCTTTACAATGTGAAAATAGTGGGATTGACTCACCTATTGTATGACATGGGCTTGATTTGTTTTTCAGTGCCCAGTATGGATGTGTAATTCTGACAGCCAATGGCAAACATGTGTGAGATCTGAAGCCAGGTTGAGGAGATGAACTTTGGCCTAAGAATAGATTAAAACCCACTGGCCTATTGAGGAAATGAACCCACAATCAGGACCTCACCAGATTAACATGAAAAAGACAGTAATGAGAATACAAGCACCTCTGAAAACAGAATTTCCATCATTGGCCACAATAGCTCTGCAATTATTTCTAATGCTGCCTATTCTTTGAAATCTTATTATTCTGGTACATTTTATTTGCTCTGGATTTAGTCATTTAATTTCTTAAATTAAATTAAATTTCTTAATCTAGAATTATTCTTAACATAATTTTTAATTGTATCAACCAAAACATTGTGCAATTAAATTGGACTTGTGAAACTAAGCCACAAGGAAATAAATAATAAAGATTAAGATATATGCAGCTCCTTTTTAAAATGCAGATTACCAATCAAAATACATAAACACAAATTACTTGATTACTTATCACTTTGGATTCTATGCTCTAAGAGACTGAAAATAATTCAGTCTCAAATACCTAATTATCTTTCTTCATAAATTAACTATTCTTTTACCATCTTTGCTGTTGTGTTTTAAATAAATCTTTAATTCCTTTCAAAATTCTCTTTTAGAAATATCTTTAAAGATAACTAACAATTTCCACAAATTACTTAAGCATTTGCCACCATATCTATAGAAATTGCATCTCCCCCAAATAAAAGGGTTCACCTTCCAATACATTTTTGTATCATTATGAAAGTTTTAAATTTCAATTTTGAAAGACCCAATCCCTCAAATAACTGATATAATTTAACTTTTTAGATTTATAAAGTGAAGTGTGTGTGTGTGTGTGTGCATGTGTGTTGCTAGGGATCAAACCCAGAGTCTTGTGCATGCTAGGCAAGTGCTCTCTACCAGTAACCTACATCCCAGCCCTCATTTTTAAAAAACATGGAATGAATCATTTCCAGAAATTAACAGTGCTCTCTCATGCTCCTGTTGCATGGTTATATATTAGGGAACTATTTAAACAACTAAGTGTTAGAATAAGACAAGAAGATGGAGTAAAACATACACATTTGTTTTAAAATTACTGCATGGGTGAATAGTTAACATACTGTCAAAGATAAGACTTATATTAAACTCCCATTTTAAGCTTTTAGTCAAAAATTATAAAAACAAGTAACCAAATGCAAGTCTGACTGCTGGCCTGCTGCTTTGTTGAAAGAAAATTGTTATGAAAGTGAATAGAGTTGAGGTTTTGTTTGCTATTTTAATACTTGACAGAATAGGAATCCCTTTTCTTTGAGAACCACCTTCAAAAAAAAGAGCTGCACAGTAATTTTTTAATGAGTGAAACTTTTTATGGTGTATCTCACTTTTACCATGAAATGTTGTTTTACCTCCTTTCACTTTTTACCAATAACATTTCCCCAAGTGTCAGCAGGAAAGGACTAAATTAATTACAACATTGCAGAGTTACCCAGCAAAGCGTAGGTCCCTATTGTTCTTCCGTGGGATAGAAAGGAACATTTGCTAGCAACTCTGGAGAGGAACAAGAATTTCATAGCTCAGATTTGGCTGTTTTAAGGAAAAGATTACAGAGTAATGGAACAGACAAAAGGACTCTGAAATGACAGTTTTGAAAATCTAAATCTCCAGAATTCCAAGGAAACTAAATGAAAGAGGAATGACATCAGAATTCTTGCTTGAGTGTTAAATACCAAAAATATATCAGAGTGTATGTATTTCCCTCAAATAAAGAGAGAATATCCAACAACCTAATAATGTATTGTAAATGAATGAAAAAACAGAATTCACATCACGCCTGCTTTATGAAGCACATTTTTTCTCACATATGCTGAACATGCCACCTTTGAGACTCTCTGTGCAAAAATAATGATTTTATCTGACTTAGATATCTCTCACCCATGCAGTAGTTTCTTAGGTAAGGGAAACTATTTATGAAACAGATTAAGAAAGTCCTGCATCATGTCTCCCCAGCATTGTTTCTTTAGGATCTCAGTGAATTTGAAAAATGAACCATATTTATTTTTATATATCATTATTATAATTTCTTGCTATGTGCAAAAAACCCAAACAAATCAACAAACAAAAAGTATCGGTCTGATTTTTTTTTCTATCCTAATATAGTCACCTTTGATTTACCAGAATTTGTTTTTCAAATTAGGTAATTTAGAGTTAAAATCCTTGAAGTTACCTGGTGTGCCAAGGTCTCTTGCTACATAAATGAGATTGTTCTCGCCTCACTCCATCCTCTACTCCCCAGGAATTTCCCTCCAGAACACACAGGTAGGCCCATGCTCCTGGAGGAAGGCTCCTGACAGGTTCGTCCTGTGCTCTGAGTATTTAAGCACAAAGTATCCTCTTCACGCTACCACCCTATCCTGCTTTTGACAGGTGTATCCTTTCACAACCTTCATTCAGTATGCTGCCAACAGAGAGATCACAGTCAGTCACCAGAGGATTGGTTCCAGAGAGCAAATTAGTTTTGTGTTCTCATTGCTGTGAGCTCAGAGAGACAACATGGACTGGTCTCACACAGGTGAAGAAGAACGAAAAAATGAAGAGGAATGGAGGAGAGCAGGAAGGGTAGGGGGACTAGAGAGAAGAAGAAGGAAAGGAGAACATTTAGTTCAAATCCAACAAATATTCACTGAACTTGCTCAATAATGCTTTCAACCAGTGAATTCTTTGAATCCTAGTAAAGAATTGATTCATTGATGCCTCCTGTTGCTGCCATGTATGAGATAGGAACATTTCTTCACACCTCAAATTTTTAGGTTGATAACTTTCCAAATAAAGGCCCTAGAAAAGACAAAACACAAACACAAAAATGTTTCAGAATGAAGCTGAGTCTGGTAGCAAAGTCTTGGCACTCAGAGGTTGAGGCAAGAGGATCATTACAGGAGCCCAGGAAATAGATCCCAGGCTGGGCAAAACAAACAAACAAGCAAACAAACAACGACTACAACAAATGAGGGTTTGGGGTACAGCTCAGTGGTAGAGCCTTTGCCCAGCATGCTCAAGGCCCTGAATTTGATCCCAGGCACTACAACAAAAAGTAAAACAGATAAAAAGTGGTAACTTCTGTTACCATGTGGATGTTTTCATGACCACTGAGGAAAGTGTTTGCATTAGTGCCACAGGTTTTGTACACAAGCTTCAGTAATTTTCATCAATCATTTTATCATTTGTCAAGACTACAAAATAATCATATTTAAATACCTACTGTTTTAGAGAACATCAAAGCTTAAGTATTTATAAGAAACAGAACTAAGTTACTCATATTTAAATCAACTTGTTAAGAACTAATTTCATTGCATTCTGGAGGATGTTCTTCAAAAAATTTGACACTTTGGAGGTTGAGGATGGTTGGAAGATTCTGAGTTTTCTTTTCATGCCCATCTGTATGACAAGACATGTCTTTCCAAACTTCTTCCCAGATAGATAATACATTAAGCTTATAGTATATTTTTGCAAATTTTGATTGCTTCAGTCAGGATGCAGTCTGAAAAACTGCTATTTTAATAGAAAGAAGTTAATTTTAAGACTTTGTTGTAAGAGATGCTGGAGGGATTAAAAGGCAAAAGCAGAAGAAAACAAAAATAGTAAGGTTAAAAGACACTAATAGGACTGCCTTCTACATTTTAGGGATGAAAAACAAGGATGGTGGTGGGATTATCAGAACACAGAAGCATGAAGCAGGAGACCCTCAGAATGGGTTCTCAGGTTTCTGAAATGAGGATGTGACCAGAACACCGCTGGTCCCTTGGAGGTTTGGAAAAAGCCCTCCATAGAGGTGAATTATTAGTAGTGTAGTAGTTATTATTATAGTATTATTATTATTATCATAGCATAAAATATTTTACAGAAAGAGCTGGTTTGTTGTTATTTACAATTGAACAATAATTGAAACATCGTATATCTTCCTTGAAGATCTATTAGTAGCTT